ATTGTAGAGACGAGGTCTTGCCAAGTTGCCCAGGCGGGTCTCGAATCCGCGGGCTCAGGCAATTCACTCACCTCAGCCTCCTAAAGCGCGGGATTTCAGGCTAAGCCACCAAGCCCGGCTTTTTAAAAGGGAAACCTGCAATCATCAGTTTCTTCTCCCGTGGCTTACAGGAGACCAACGCACACCCTGGCCGCTGTAGCACAGCAGCAAAGCCTGCGAGGGGACTGCCTGGCATCGGGAGCCCAACACCCAGGGCACCAGCTGTGCACCTGGACCCACAGGCAGCACAGCGGCCCCTCGGGGCCAGCCCCTGCTGCCCTCCCCAAGGCTGCTCTGCTTCCTCCACTCCTCACAAGGAGGCAGGCTGCCTCCAGCTCCCTAACTAGAAAGCGGCGGCCACTCCCACCAAGTGCAGCCTCAGCTCTGCTGGTCAAACACCACACTGTGTGGCACTATGCTTCCTTCCCTGTTTTCATAACAACAGCGGCCAGAAAGAGACAGCTCTGAGAGCTGCGTGGGACGGGAAGGCTGTGAGACCCGCTGAGGGGGCGGATGTCTGACATCGTGAAGCGCCCAGCAGTGCACAGACCTTTTTTATGCTGATTTATTGTAACTTCTTCTCTGGTTCCCCGCCCCCAGCCACACACACAAAATGAACCAAACCCTAGCATGGCCAGGATGTCACGCCACGAGGACATGGGCAGGGGGCGCCTGGGATCCTTTCCCCAAAGTGGAAGGTTAGACTCAGAGCATGCCACGCCCTCCAGGAAGGGCGGCTGGGAAGGGTGTGGGTGGCCTGGGGAAGGGAGGCCCGCGGAAGGGAGGCGGGAGCTGGAAGGGCAGGGACCATGGTGCCAGACTGTGAATGTTTATGTCCTGATATGGCACGGTGTTCCCGCCCTCACGAAGATGTGACTCAGAGCACAGCACTTTCTCCAGAAACCAGGGCTGGGGGTGGTCCAGGGAAAGGGTGGGGGGCGCTCCAGAGGAAGGGCGGGAGGTGGCCCGGAGAATGGGATCGCCTTTGGGGGTGGCTGGAGCAGGAAGGGCAGGGACCCTGGCGCCACGCCGGGAGCCCACATCTTGGCGTCCCACACCTGTGTGCTCTTTGGCACGTGATTAACCTTCTGGGACCTTGATCTTGTCATTTGTGAAAGGGGATAAAAGCACCGCCTATCCCATCGGGTTGACGTGAAGGTTAAATGAGCAAAACCACCTGTACCCTCAGACGGCACGCAGACACCTGGGCTGGCGTGTCTCCTCGATAGGACACGGGGGAGCCAGGCAGAGGGCCCGCGGGGCTGGCGCCACGCTGCAGGGGATCTAGTCTCCTTCTGCAGCCGCAGCTGCAGAGACAGGGTGGCCAGCTACCATAGCTCTACCCAGGCTGCCTGTAGCTTGATGGCGGCCCGCAGAGGTCGAGGCCACGTGGAGCAGACGCCACAGAACCCCATGCCTGTAACAAGGGCAGAGAGAGCGGATCCGGACCTAGTGGAGGAGCCAGGGTGGAATGAGGCTCGCGCAGGCCGCCTGGAGCCCACCTGCCCGCCCGCCCGCCCGCAGGCAACACTCACCTGGGCAGCAGAGGATGGCCAGGACCAGCAGGAACCCGAGCAATGCTGGCCCTTCTCGTCTTCCCATCATGACTGTCCGGGACCTGGAGGGGGGTCGACAAGGGCTGCCGTGAGCCAGCAAGGCCAGAGGATGGACCAAGAGCTGGGAAGCGCAGGGAAGGACACAGGGAGCTGCTGGCGGGTGCAATGGTCCCTGCCTGCGGTCCCAGCTGCTTGGGAGGCCAGGAGGGAGGATTGCTTGAGGCCAGGAGCTGAAGGCTGCCGTGAGGTATGTTCCCACTGCTGTACTCCAGCCTGGGCGACAGAGCAAGACCCTGTTTCTAAAAACACAGGAACTCCACCAGGCTGGGATCTGAAATGCCGGGCTCTCGGGTGTGGAACCCGAGCCCGCCTCCTGCCCCGAGACCTCGATCTACCTAAGGCAGGCTGGCCCTGGCGAGGGACAGCGATGAGGGCATCGGGGATCCTTGGACCTGACCCACTGGCCCCACAGCAGCCACGCACCCCCCGACAGCCAGCCCACGCACCGCATACGGGGATACCACTGCTGTCCACAAGGGTCATTCACTCACACACAAGCACCAGGAAGTCGACCCAGTAACTGATTCCCTCTGGGGGCCCCACCCAGCGCTGAGCTGGGCGGCCACTTCTCCAGGCCACACCCACTGCCCAGGGGCTCAGCCACAGGGCGCCTGCAGGGACATAAGTCCAGGCTCCTCATGGCAGGGCGAAGGGGCACGCCTTGTCCACTCAGGACATGAAGAGGGAGACTGGCCCGTGACACCCGCACCCGGAGGTGCTGCACCAGCGGTGGGAGACAGGTGACCAGGAGGCTTCACACTTGCCAGGGCCCCAGCCCACGTCCTGAGCCCCCCAGGGCGGCCAGAGGGGCCAGCTACTGAGAGCCAGGTGCTCCGGGCTCTGTCCCCAGTGGCCCCAGGCCAGGCCAGACAGACAACTCAGCGGGGGTGAGCCACCCACCCCCGCTGGGGGAGAAGCAGGGCTCCCTGAGATGTCACCATCTCTCCATCTCTGAAGGCCCCCTGTACCCAGGAATTGGCTGACACAGGCCACTGCGGACTGAGAGGCAAGGCTTAGTATCATCCAGCAGAGAAAACACTGAAGGCTGGTATGGTGGCGCACACCCATAGTCCCAGCACTTTGGGAGGCAGAGGCGGGAGGATTGCCTGAGCCCAGGGGTTTGAGACCAGCCTGGGCAACTAGGCGAGACCTCGTCTCTATGACAAATCAAAAAATTATCCGGGCATGGTGGTGTGCGTCTGTAGTTCCGGCTACTTGGAAAACTGAGGTGGGAGGATCACCTGAGCACAGGAGGTCAAGGCTGCAGTGGTTGTGAGCGTGCCCCTGCCCTCCAGCCAGAGTGAAACCCCAACTCAAAAATAAGAAAGAAAAAGCACTGACTGGTACAAGCTTACAGTGGGGTGGCTTTCCCTACCTGGGCTGCTGGGGGGACCACGACCAAGGCCTGGCTTCCCTCAGGAGCCATGTGGCACCCCCCCCCATGGCCTCCCCAAAGTCCGCCAGAACTGGCTGCCCAGCACGAGGGGAGGAAGGCGGTGGCCTGAGGCCCCCAGACGGGGTAGCGCGCCGGACATCCCCCACAGGTTGGGATTGGCTGTGGTGTCAGTGTGCCTGGGAGGAAGGACCTGGTGAGGCTGGGGACTCCGGCCCAGGGTGCCTGATGGAAACGCCCTGGACACGAACAGCACGTGACAAGGCGGTGGCGAGAGCTGCTCAACGGCATTTTGCAGGAAGGCGGGAAGGACACGGCCAGACTCGGGCGCCCCATCCATTAGGGGCCCAGGGTGAGGCCGGGAGCTTGGCTCTGACCCGCTGCTGGGCATTGCCTCTGACCTCTGAGCTTCCCCTGGCAAACTCAGTACAGTCACATGTGTGGCGTGGCCTGTGCCCAGCAGAGGGGAGAAGAGCAGTGGCTGCCATGAGAGTCGCCGAGAAGTCAGGGTCTTGGGGAAGAGCCTGGGGAGAAGGGTGGGCGGGCAGACGGCAGTGATGCTGGGCAGAGGCCAGAGAAGCAGCTGGTGGGGGACGAGCAGGGGCTCTCGGCCTCCAGGGTCAGGTGGGGCATGTCAAGGCCCAGCCTTGATTCCACCCACGGGTCGCCGGGTGTGCCGTGACCTGCAGGGGCAGGACCAAGCCCTGCGGAGGAAGAACATGACTGCGTGTGGACGCCAGGGTGGACTGTTGGAATCAGAGTCCCCCAGGTCTCTGCTGCTCACCACTGCCACAGAGCTTTCCAAGAGCAAAATGTTCAGGGGGCTGAGGGGGAGGGGAGGCAGGAAAGAAACGGCAGGTTGCTTCAATCTGCCTCTACAAGCATATGCCCAGCAGATCGAGGCTGCATTGGCCGGGAGCATGCCACTGCCCTCCAGCCTGGATGACAGAGTGAGACTCTGACTCAAAAAAAAGAAAAAAAAAGAATCAAGCATCACTTTTATAATCAGATCAGGACAATCCACACTTCATACTTTACAAATGTTCCCTCTCCAGCAGTCCCAGACCATCTATATTTCAGAATTTAAAAAATAAATAACCCAACCTCATGGTCTGAAATCCTCCCTAGTGTTAAGCACCCTCCATTCTGAGAAGAAAAAAAAAAAGCCCTAAGTGAAGAGCAGTAAGATGGGTCCGCACACCACACACTCCCACGTAAGACACACATGGGACAGCGGTACTGGACGCTCTTCTGAACTGCTTGTTTCTGAGTGATTCTCGTTCTTCCAGAGGACCCACAACCCACAATCCCCAGAGAAGACCTGTGGTGACAAGTCTTGTCCCAGTGAAGTGGATTCATTGCTGGAGAGACCCCGAGGCCGTCGAGCGAGGGCTGTGGAGTCAGGTGGGCGTCCCTGCTGGGAACCACCGCCCAGGGCCTGGAAAGCAGCTGTCAGGCTCAGGCCAGCCTTTCGCCGTAGAGATTTTCCTGGGTGGCTCACAGCTGACTCTGGAGTGAATTCCTGCAGCACGCGCTTGGGCCCCTCATCACGGGACAAGTCAACAGCCAGGCTGTGTAAAAGCTGTTTACAACAGCAACAAACTTCAGCTGATTCTAAACCAGGCGCAGTGAGAACCAATGGGAGGCCCAAACGTCCACTGTACACAGACCACTGAGGTACCTAATCCTGACTTGCCTCCCGCATCTTTAAAATAAAACAATAGAGCTGGGCTCGGTGGCTCAGCCTGTGATCCCGCGCCTTGGGAGGCTGAGGTGAGTGGATTGCCTGAGCCTGCAGGTTCGAGACCCCCCTGGGCAGCAAGACCTCATCTCTACGATAAATCAAAAAATCAGCCGGGCGCGGTAGCGCATGCGTGTAATTCCGGCTACTCAGAAGGCTGAGGTGGAAGGATCACCGGAGCCCAGCAGGCGAGGCTGCAGTGGCTGGGAGTGGCCACTGCACTCCAGTCTGGGCGACTGAGTGAGACTCCGACTCAAAAAAAAAAAAAAAAAAATTAATTAATTAAATAAATAAATAAATAAATAAGTAAAAACAATAATAATAAAGTAGCAGCGACCAAGTAACACGTGTCCACAAGGAGAGCTGGAGAGCCATGGTGCAGGGCCACGTGGCCACAAGGAAGACTGCATGCGTGTTATGAAAAGGAAACTGGATTAAAAACAACTGCAATGTCTTTGGGTTTTGTTTGTTTTTTGAGTTGGACTCTCACTCCGTCACCCAGACTGGAGTGCAGTGGCCACTCCTGGCCACCGCAGCCTCGACCTGCTGGGCTCCGGAGATCCTTCCGCCTCAGCCTTCCAAGTAGTTGGAACTACAGGTGCGCGCTCCCACACCCAGCTAATTCTTTGATTTATTGTAGAGATGAGGTCTCACCCAGTTGCCCAGGCGGGTCTCAAACCCACGGGCTCAGGCAATCCACTCACCTCAGCCTCCCAAGGTGTGGGATTACAGTCTGAGCCACCAAGCCCGGCTAACAACTGCAATGTCATCACTCTCTTGTTTATTGAGTCAGAGTCTCACTCTGTCACCCAGGCTGCAGTGCAGTGGCCTGCTCATGGCCACCACAGCCTTGACCTGCTGGACTCAGGCGATCCTCCACCTCCACCTTCCAAGTATCCAGAACCACAGGTATGAGCCACCATGCCCAGCTAACTTTTGATTTATTGGAGGTCTCACCAAGTTGCCCAGGCCTGTCTTGAACCCCTGGGCTCAGGAAATCCTCTCGCCTCCGCCTCCCAAAGTGCTGGGATGATAGGCGTGAACCACCCGTGCCCGGACACAGGAGAATTTCTAACTGCAGCTTTTTAGGGTAACTATCCCAGTCAAGGACAACCTGCATTCCAATTTCTCAGAGTCAAATCAGGCAATGCCCAAACCAGCTGCATCTAGATCTATTAGTTTCTTTTTTTTCTTTTTTCTTTTCTGAGTTGGCGTCTCATTGTGTTGCCCAGACTGGAGTACAGGGGCACGCTCACAGCCACTATAACCTTGACCTGCCGGGCTCAGGCGATCCTTCCGCCTCAGCCTTCCAGGTAACTGGGACTACAGTTGTGCGCCACCATGCCCAGTTAATTTTTCTTGATTTATTGTAGAGACAAGGTCTTGCCAAGTTGCCCAGGCTGGTCTCGAACCCCTGGGCACAGGCATTCCTCTCACCTCCGCCTCCCAAAGTGCTGGGATGGAAACATCCAGTGTCATCACTCTCTTAAAATGCATACGTGCAAACACATGCATAAACACTTGGAATGCCGCATCCATTTTTCTGATTATTTTAGAGCATGTGGTGAGCCAGGTCACAGAATTCGAGCAGGTTATTCATGCTGAAGTGTCTTTTTTTCTGAACAATGGACATTTTTATAGAAAAGTCTCTCATCTTTAAAATAAAAATTTTTTAAAAATTAAAATATAAAATAAATAAAATAGAAAAAAGGCAAGTCTCTTGACACAAGGGAAACTCGGACACACTGACATGTGGTTTCACTTGCAGTTCCTCCCCATTGAGCGTCTGTACTACGCAACCTGACCAGGCTAGAGCCCGCCCACAGCCTCACAGGTGGCAACTGCTCTCTGTGGACATACTGCCCACGTCTGAAAGCAGATTTGAGTCACGTGCCGGCTCTGTAAATGAGCCTGGGCGTCTGGAGAGGCCTGAGAGGGGCCTGTATCGACCCCACTCTGCTCTCAGTTTATAGAACCTTGAAACCGCCAACTCCTTGACTTCAGTTCCTAACTTGTGAAGAAACGACGATTTTGTATGATGATAAAATATAAAAACAAGACCTGAGGGTTTTGAGTTCAATCTGGACAAGCGTGTCATTTCAGTTTAAGAAGCAAACATGCAGTCCAGGACTCACAGGTCCTGGGTTGACCCCACCCCGGCCCCAGGCCCGACCTGGTGGGCATTCCCGCGTTTCCGCCGATCGTCAGGACAGCCAGACGGTTCCCAGCAGAAGCAGGTGACGAGCACGAGGGAGGCAGGACCATGCAATCTGGAAAAGGGACGCCCAGACGGTCCTGTCTCAAATGAGGGCGGGGTGGGAGGCAGCTATTCTGTGTCTTTTCCGAGGACGGAGCTCGAGTCCCAGGGTTGCAGCTGCTGGCCTCACTCCTCCCGCGTGTCCTGCCCCAGGCCAGGTCCTGGGCGGCGAGGCAGTGCACCTGGACAGCAACGCCCTGATGAGGCATGCAGCTGTGTGCCTGCTGAAAACCAACAACAGCAGAGCGCAAGGACGCACAGAACAGACTCCCGCAAAAGATGGGCGGGACCAAAAGTCCCCATGGCCTGCAGGCTCTCACCCTGGGTCAGCGACGTGCCTCCCTCCACCTGTGCTGGGGGGAACCCGACGTCGCAGGGGACTGACAAATCCAGACATCCCCTGCAGCTTCCCGGGAGTATCCTGGGCAGCAAATGTCCTGGGAGTTTGGGTGGAAATGTCTGCGTGCCTACGTCCACTACTTAAATAGGAAACATGTTACTGTCCACCGGAAACTATGACCGGTCCGCCAAAACATCTGTTAAACACACACAGAAACACACACTGTGGACCCTTGAATAACACAGGTGTGAACTGCCTGGGTCCACCCAACTGTGATTTTTTTTTCAGTAAATACATGGAAAAATTTTGGGAGATTTGTGACAATTTGAAAAAACTGGCAGACAAACCAGAGAACCTAGAAGCACTGAAAAATTAAGACAAAGCTGGGTATGTCATAAATGCATAAAGCACACAGAGGTGCCAGCAGACTTGGTCACCTCCTACTGGGAAATACACATGTATCAGCCGGTGCAGGGGCTCACGCCTGTCACTCCAGCACTTTGAGAGGCCGAGGCGAAAGGATTGCCTGAGCCTAGAGGTTCAAGATCAGCCTAGGAAACATGGCAAGACCTCGTCTCTACAATAAAGAAAAACTACTTGTAATGCCAGCACTTTGGGAGGCCGAGGCAAGAGGATTGCCTGAGCCTGTGGGTTCGAGACCAGCCAGGGCAACTTGGCAAGACCTCGTCTGTAGAATAAGTCAAAAACTAGCCAGGCGTGGTAGCACGCACCTGTAGTTCCAGCTACTAGGAAGGCTGAGGCGGGAGGGTTGCCAGAGCCCAGCAGATCGTGGTAGCTGTGAGTGTGCCACTGCACTCCATTCTGGGTGATAGCATGAGACTCCGACCGACACACACACACACACACACACACACACACACATCTATCTCGGAGTTAGAATTCATCAAAACTCACACACACAGTCCACAGCCCTACAGCCCTATAGCCCTACAGGCACAGGTGTGGTGATGCGGTGCGGTCATGCTGCGTGAGGGTGGCAGGGACACTTGTACACGGAGGAACCTCGTGGTCGCCCTGTTGCCATGGTGCTACGCTCAGGCGTCAGGAGTGTCCATCTATGACATGTGAGTGTGCCCCTGACATGCGTACGCTGGGCAGCGCCTGCAAGGAGTTCTGTCTTTCCAGGTAACCATGGTTGAGGCACAAAATCCCTCCCCTCTTAAGGTCATGAGTTTTGTTTTGTTTTTTGAGTTGAGGTCTTACTCTGTCACCCAGGCTGGAGTGCCGTGACACGATCACAGCTCACAGCAGCCTCAACTTTCTGGGCTCGGGTGATCCTCCTGCCTCAGCCTCCTGAGGAGATGGGACTACAGGCGTGCGCCACCATGCCTGGCTATTTTTTTTTTATGTTAAAGATGTGGGGTGCAATTCAGGATTAGTTGTACAAGTGGTCATCGTACAGGGAAAGTTTGGGCCTCCCTTTGGTCCCCACTTCACCTGGTTTGAGATCAGGTCCCCTTATTGATGTTATGTCCCCCACACGCTCCCTACCCCCGGATGGTATCCTGCTACTGCCAATCCCTTTCTTATAGTATTATGGTAATTGTTCAAGGTTAATTTTTTTAAAAATTGTTGTAGAGACGAAGTCTTGTTCTGCTGCCCAGGCTGGTCTTGAAGCCCTGCGCTCAGGCAATCCTCTCACCTCAGCCACTCAGAGTGCTGGGACTGCAGGCGTGAGCTGCCTCGCCTGGTCATTGAGCATTCTTAGAATCAGGCTTGGTGCAACACAGTAAGCCTGGAATGACACCATGAGACCCTTCCGAAGGCCACAATGATGCTCGACGTACTCCCAAGGGCAGAGAAAGGTCACAACATCACAGGAAAGAGCGGCTTCTCAGTACACACCGGGCCAAGACCTGCAGCTGGTTGTGCTGCCATCAGACGGGCGACCATCATGTAGACAGACAGCATCAACTTAGGGATGGACCACTGCCATCCAGGACTGCCCACAGGTTCCTCTTCCTGATGATTTTCTTAACGTCTCCTTTTCTCCAGCTTACTTCATTGCAAGAATACAGTATAAAATACATGGCCCACGCAGAGTGTGTGTTAACCGACAGTTATGCTTATCAGGAGGGCTTCTGGTCAACAGCTGGCTGTTAGCAGTCAAATTTTGGGAAGTCAAAAGTTATACTCGCAGCCGGGCTCGGTGGCTCAGCCTGTAATCCCATGCTTTGGGAGGCTGAGGTGAGTGGATTGCCTGAGCCCGCGGGTTCGAGACCCACCTG